GGCTATGAGCAAAGTCCAGCAAACCCAAAGATAATTTCATAGTCAAAAACAGTAATCTAGTTTCCACATATACCTGTGGAATCCATCCTTAACTAATTTGAGTGGAACTTCGGTATGCGAACAGCTCCCTAATCAAACAAAGCTCAGCACTCAACCAAGCATTTTTTTAATATTGTATAAATAAGTCACCATGGTGCCAACGAAGATTAGTGATAACAACCAACCAAAAAGAAAATTGGTTGCAAAGAATTTGTTCGATACCCGAATGGATCGGCACTCGAACAGCCTTCTAGAATGAGTTACATTCGAGTACCAATTTGGATATGACTAAACAGTTGGATATGGTATGGGCCATATCACACCACAGCTAAAACTTTTACGTACAATCAATGGCACTTTTAACTTTTTGCTTAGGGTACAGGTTATGTCAGGTCAGATTCCCATAGGATCAGTGTGACTTATTATAAACTGTGCCTGTAGATACTGGTGTTGTAGGTAAACTTCTACAGTGTCCATATACTGTAAGTTTGAGGACCTAGGCTGGAAGGGTCTCTTAGAAACACTGAGGCTGCAGCAAACTTACTTTAATTTGTTACCATCAAGTATTGAGAGAAATAGTATGGAAACCAGAACCATTCAAGCCATAGACTTCTTGCATATGCTTAATGCAAATGGGTTTGGAAATGGAAATATAGAATTAAGTTGGTGTTTATTTTCCATGTGATTGATGAGTCCACATTTATAATCTTTGACATTCTGCTGTAGAATGAAAACATTGTGCTTCATTTTCCCCTCATGAGATGTGACTAAACAGACTACAGTGGACCCCTGGATATCGTAGTCATCAGATTTCATAATATTCAGAAAATATTGGCTCGGTGATTGTCATTGAGCTTGGTAATAGTCATTCATCCCGAACACATTCGCATGGCAACAGCGGCCCAACACCCAGTGTGCCATTGTTTATCTGCCAGTGAACACGATCCCACATGTTCATACGATACATTTCGTATTATTCCATTCTTTTTAGTGCTTGCAGCTGCTAAATAAGCCACCATGGGCCCAAAGAAAGTTCCTAGTGCCAGCCAGCCCTTTGGTAAAGGGCTGAGAGATAGGGGAGAATGTGCCTTCTTCAGCGATTCTGCAACATGTACGATTCTAAAGCAGCAGGAGTCAGTAAAGGCTATAGTGGCAGCCAGCGATAAAGTGTAGCATTAACAGTGTAGCAAGTAAGTTAAGCGATTAATCGATAGAAAAAGGACAGCACGAAACTGACTCCTCCAATGTTGTTGGAGGTATATAGGGCTACTGACTAACACCACTGCCTCTGCTGCTGCCATCACCACCACTATGTAAGGCTTATCTTTCAGTGGCTGTTATACAAACAGCACAACATCACTCATCAGTTAGGGAGAGAGACATATGACATATTATATTCATTCTAGAGTATATATGGTGTTTCTATGTTATTAATATTGTTTATTATGTCATATTAGATAAATTGTGCTAGATAAATAAGCCGTAGAGTTGATATTAGTGTAATATTGAAGGACTATTTTGTCCTGTCTCCTAACACACTCCCCTGCCGCCACCACAATTCCTAATATACACCAGAAACAGACCTCTCTGGAACACTTTTTTGAGCAGCAGGGGTCCAGTGACTCAAGCTGGTCCTAGTGGCATTAAAAAACAAAGAAGGAAAGTAACCCCAGAAAAGGACTCAATACCTGAAGTCTTTATGGAAGGGAGTTCCCCTTCCAAACAGTAATTTTTCCATCCTCTTTCCTCTTCCTGTCTTCAATACACTAAGAAGAGTCTTCAATAAAGGTAAATGTCATTTTATTTTTGTTTTATTCTTCATGTCTCATTGTTTTCTGTGTAGGTGAATGTATATTTCATGTAAAAAAATTAATTTTTTTAATACTTTTGGGTGTCTGGAATTTACATTGGATTTACATTATGTCTTGTGAGGAAAATGAATTCAGAAATCGTCAAATTCGGCTTTAGTCACACTCTCTGGAACGGATTAATTACGATAACCGAGGGTCCACTATATAATAGTTCACAAGTATAAGGTGTCTAGCCATCATTTTGCAAAGTTAACTTACAGTATTCACTAATTTTCAGATTCATCATATTTACCCAGTTTTATACTTTTTTGTGGTACAGGTCCTCCATCACAAATCCGGCATCATTGGGACCTGTAGTGTGCCAGATTACTGAGTTTGCCGAATTACAGAGTGGTTAGGTTAGAATATACTTAATAAAATTAACCAACTTGACTTACACAGTTCATTGAACATCGGCAAAAATCAAACATTTCCGCTACTTTGAGCTCAATTTCAAGGTACTTTTCGTCATGAAAGCAATCAAAATCATGTCTGTTTCTGTAATACATCTTCCATTCTATCAAATGAGTCCAAAAAATGAGAATACAACCATAAAAAAACATACGAAAATATACTGCAAAGAAGCGGCTAATGGCTGAGAAGTGAACTCCCTTATTTATCGTCCGTCTTTTTTATTTTTGTTGTACGTTAAGAAGCATCTTTCCATCATACATTGCCCAAGTTTCAATGAGATAGCCTAACAAACAACCTAGAAAAAAAAAATTACCAAAAATCATATATGGCAAACCCAAGCCAGGTACTGGAAATAAGTTACTTTGTCTGACTTTTCTGGGTTATCCTAGGTTCTCTATACATACACTGCTATGTATGATAATCTATGTAACTGTATTTGTGTATACCTGAATAAACTTATTTACTTCTAGTCTGTCAACTGAGTACAAGAAACCGCCTATTCACTTATTTCAACTACCCAATAAAGTGGTCAGAAATTGGCAATTTGGCCGATTTCACACAAATTTCAACAGATGCCAATTTCAAAATAGGATCCAGAATAAACAATGCAGACATTCCTGGCACTAAAATAACATTTTCTCTGTTCATTAGTCACGGCTACAGGCCCCTCTTATATTACTCTTGCTTACCATTTGGAATTTTTATTAACAAAAAATAGAAGATTTACTGTTATGCAGACTACTGCATTATTGTAATAATTGTATAAATAATGTCATTCCATTCTTGACTCCGTACTGGAATTTAGACTGGCAGGCGGACAGGTATTGGACAGTGACGTCATTTGTTTACTCTTGAGTTTCGCTGAAGAATAGAACATTTTTGCTACTGTGAGCGCAATTTCAAGGTACTTTTCATCATGAAAGCAATCAAAATCATATCTATTTCTGTAATATATCTTTCATTCTATCAAATGAGACCGAAAAAATGAGAATATAACCATAACAACCATACAAAGATATACCGCTAATGGCTGAGAAGTGAACTCTGCTATTTATGGTCTGATGATGATGAAGAAGTATCTTTCCATCATACATTGCCCAAGTTTGAATAAGATAACCCAACAAACAACTGAGAAAATAATAATATAATAATAATAATAATAATAATAATAAGAACTAGGTAGTAGGTTGGTAAACAGCAACCGCCCAGGGAGGTACTACCATCCTGCCAAGTGAGTGTACAACGAAAGCCTGTAATTGTTTTACATGATGGTAGGATTGCTGGTGTCTTTTGTCTGTCTCATAAACATGCAAGATTTCAGGTATGTCTTGCTACTTCTACTTGCATTTAGGTCACACTACACATACATGTACAAGCATATATATACACACACACCCCTCTGGGTTTTCTTCTATTTTCTTTCTAGTTCTTGTTCTTGTTTATTTCCTCTTACCTCCATGGGGAAGTGGAACAGAATTCTTCCTCCGTAAGCCATGCGTGTTGTAAGAGGCGACTAAAATGCCGGGAGCAAGGGGCTAGTAACCCCTTCTCCTGTATATATTACTAAATTTAAAAAGAGAAACTTTAGTTTTTTCTTTTGGGCCACCCCACCTCGGTGGGATACGGCTGGTATGTTGAAAGAAGAATAATAATAATAATAATATATTTACTACACGTACATGTACAAGGTATACAGGCCTTGCTGACATCAGTGACATGCTTCTGTATAGAAAGGCACTTATTATCCTGAGTATTTCAAGAAAATTAGGTCAGTGTCCCAGGATAACACCCACACTAGTCGACTAACACCCAGGTACCCATTTACTGATGGGTAAACATAGACAACAGGTGTAAAGAAACACGCCTAATGTTTCTACCCTGGCTGGGAATCGAATATTTACCAACAATCATATATGGCTAACCTAAGCCAGGTACTAAAAATAAGCCACGTTGACTTTTTTGGGGTTATCCTAGGTTCTCTACACATATGCTGCTATGTGTGATAATCTATAGAGAGAAAATAACTTTTTTGTTTCATGTTTATGGTGGAATATGAGTGTATATCATAGTTAGCCCTGTGCTATACTCTGTTTTCTCTAATATAAGCCACCAAGACAAGGATAGGAGAATGGTATTTGTTTACCATATCCTCTTCGTAACTCTGTTGAACTGCTCGGTGTTATGCCAAATATTATTCATTCTGGAGTATTTAACATGTTTTATGTTATTTATATTGTTTATTATGTCATATTAGATCAATTGTGATAGACAAATAAGCTGTAGTGTTGATATTAGCGTAATAATAAAGCATATTATCCTTCTTCATGAGACTGAGCTCATGGCATCCGACAGTGGCTTCAAAGCCACCTTATCTTTAATGGATAATGTACTGTGTCGGTGCTTTACATAATGAGAAGCATTTCTTTTATTCATTGGAACCATGGCTAGGGCTAAAAGTAAGCAGGTTAAAACAATAAATGGAGAAAAAGAAATTGGAATGACTTATGCAGCAAGTAGCACCACCAAACAGTACCAGCAGGATGGTGTGGCAACCATGGAAATTTGAAATTATGCTAGTCAAAATCAGTGCCAAATAACTGAAGGAACCTAATAACTGATTGCCGGATTTGTGATGGCGGACCTATACTATTAATATTCTTAAAAATTAAGATTATTATACAAGATAATTTATTTCAGGTTGTGTCAGCTGGGTCTACAGTGGTTGGTGGAGGCTCTGCAATTCGTGTGAGTGCTGGGGAACGCTCATCACCATCAACTTTGGCCTTGTCTGCTGGAACCATGAAAGTGACCAACCCTGCCATATTGTCTCAAGTATCTGCAGCCCTTCAAGGACAATTAATGTCTGTTGCTGTGAGGACTCCCACCCAGAGTCCTGTTAGAATACAGACATCAGCCCTTCAGACTCAGCAAGCAGCACAGACACAACAACAACAACAACAGCAGCAGCAGCAACAACAACAACAACAGCAACAACAGCCACAACAGCAGCAGCAGCAACAACAACAACAGCAGCAACAACAGTCACAACAACAGGGGCAGCAAGGTGGTGTTGGGCAGTAAATGAAAACAAGAATGCTGTCATCAACATCTTTCACACTGTTTTGAAATAATAGGGTTTCATATGTTGCTCATCTGGAGTTCTGAAGATAATTGTAAGAAAGTTCTTTATTTATATATATATATATATATATATATATATATATATATATATATATATATATATATATAATATATATATATATATATATATATATATATATATATAATATATATATATATATATATATATATATATATATATATATATATATATATATATATATATATATATATATATATATATATATATATATATATATAATCATCAAGGTTAAATCAGACCTTAGTTGTAGTCACTGCATCTTTATTTTTAGCATATGTTATTCAAATTTTGCAGTGTCACTCATATTGCAGGACTTTTGGTTTCATCTGGATAATGGACAGATTTATGTGGTACAGTACAGGAAGCTCTTGACTTACAAACACATTGAGAATCTTCGGTATTGTGTATATCATTATTGTGTATAATATCATTATATCATTATTGTGTATAATATCATTATTATACACAATACAGAAGGTCCCCAACGTGTTCGTAAGTTGAAGACTTCCTTGTTATGAATATTATACACAGTAAGGTAGATTATCAGCATGTTTGTAAGCCAAGGACTTATTGTACAATATTGCACTAGATCAAATCAGTAGATGTTGATCTATTGTACTAGAATGTAGCCAAGGACACTTCTTTTACAGGAAGCCGCCTCCTCATTATCAACCTGGAAAACAGTGGAGATTTATAATGAACTTTATAGGTTGAAGATTGAGACACTTATGCAACATATGGGAATCTTTATCTCTCTCTCCTAAATAAAGATTCCCATATGTTGCATAAGTGTCTCAATCTTCAACTTGTCAGTTTTCAAAACCATTCATCACAACTTTATAGTTTACACACATAAATATATAATAGCATATATGGTGCGATAGAAAAGTTATTTGTATTGTATAGAACTGTGGGTTAAAACATTGAAAGTCATCATCCGAGTGCATGCATGGTATCTCGAAATTTGACCCTTCAAGGGCAGGTATAGTACATTATCTCATTACAGTATTATGTAGAAGTCAGGAAAGTAAAGTCAATGTGACATAGTACATCTCACAAGAAGGGCCTGCTGCACTAGGATTTTGTTTCATAGGGTCAGTTTATCAGGATTTTTTCATGCTCCTTCTCTTTGGTCTTGAAAAAACATAGTTCCTGATCAGCCAGATTGTGGTGCTTAGATTACTGTGTGCTGCTAGCACCAGTAACCTGACTGATCAGACCATCACTAATTAGGCCTAGTCTAGGACCAGGCCACAGAGGAGTGGTTGCCTTGAATCATTTCACGAGGGTTGACTACCTGGAAAAAATTTGTGCTGCACCAAGTCCTCATTGCGAAATGTACTACAGGTCCGCCATCACAAATCCGGCAGTCAGTTATTCGGCACTAATTTTGGCTAGCATAATTTCAAGTTTCCAGGGTCGCCACACCAACCTGCTGGTACTGTTTGGTGGCGCTACTTGCTGCATAAGTCATTCCAATTTCTTTTTCTCCATTTATTGTTTTAACCTGCTTACTTTTAGCCCTAGCCATGGTTCTAATGAATAAAAGAAATGCTTCTCATTATGTAAAGCACCAACACAGTACATTATCCATTAAAGATAAGGTGGCTTTGAAGCCACTGTCGGTTGCCATGAGCTCAGTCTCACAAAGCAGGAGAATATGCTTTATTATTACGCTAATATCAACACTACAGCTTATTTTCCTATCACAATTAATCTAATATGACATAATAAACAATATAAATAACATAAAACATGTTAAATACTCCAGAATAAATAATATTTGGCATAATACTGAGCAGTTCGACGGAGGTATGAAGAGGACATGGGATACAAGTACCATTCTCCTCTCCCTGTCTTGGGAGCTTATATTAGAGAAAACAGAGTATAGCACAGGGCTAACTGTGATATACACACGTACTGCACCTTAAACCTGAAACAAAAAAGTTATTTTCTCTATATAGATTATCACACACAGCAGCATATGTGTAGAGAACCTAGGATAACCCAAAAAAGTCAACGTGGCTTATTTTTAGTACCTGGCTTAGGTTAGCCATATATGATTTTTGGTAAATATTCGATTCCCAGCCAGGGTAGAAACATTAGGCGTGTTTCTTTACACCTGTTGTCTCTGTTTACCCATCAGTAAATGGGTACCTGGGTGTTAGCCGATTAGTGTGGATGTTATCCTGGGACACTGACCTAATTTTCTTGAAATACTCAGCATAACAAGCGGCTTTCTATACAGTAGTATGTCAGTACAGTAGCTATGTCTGTATACCTTGTACATGTACGTGTAGTAAATAAAGATATTATTATTATTATTATTATTATTATTATTATTATTATTATTATTATTATTTTATTATTATTATTATTATTATTATTATTATTATTATTATTATTATTTTCTCAGTTGTTTGTTGGGTTATCTTATTCAAACTTGGGCAATGTATGATGGAAAGATACTTCTTCACGTACACCAAAAATGAAAGAAATCAGTCCATAAATATCGGAGTTCACTTCTCAGCCATTAGCGGCCGCTTAGCGGTATATTTTTGTATGTTTTTATGGTTATATTCTCATTTTTTCGGTCTCATTTGATAGAATGAAAGATATGTTACAGAAATAGATATGATTTTGATTGCTTTCATGACGAAAAGTACCTTGAAATTGCGCTCACAGTAGCGGAAATGTTCTATTCTTCAGCGAAGCTCAAGAGTAAACAAATGATGCCACCGTCCAATACCTGTCCGCCTGCCAGTCCAAATTCCAATACGTAGTCTGAGTTGACATTATTTATACAATTATTACAATAATGCAGTGGTCTGCATAACAGTAAATCTTCTATTTTTTTGTGTGAATAAAAATTCCAAATGGTAAGCAAGAGTAATATAAGAGGGGCCTGTAGCCATGACTAATGAACAGAGAAAATGTTATTTTAGTGCCAGGAATGTCTGTATTGTTTATTCTGGATCCTATTTTGAAATTGGCATCTGTTGAAATTTGTGTTAAATTGGCCAAACTGCCAATTTCTGACCACTTTATTGGGTAGTTGAAATAAGTGAATAGGCGGTTTCTTGTACTCAGTTGACAGACTAGAAGTAAATAAGTTTATTCAGGTATACACAAATACAGTTACATAGATTATCATACATAGCAGTGTATGTATAGAGAACCTAGGATAACCCAGAAAAGTCAGACAAAATGACTTATTTCCATTACCTAGTTTGGGCTTGCCATATATGATTTTTGGTAAATATTTTTTTTTCCTTGGTTGTTTGTTGGGCTATCTCATTGAAACTTGGGCAATGTATGATGGAAAGATGCTTCTTAACGTACAACAAAAATAAAAAAGACGGATGATAAATAATGGAGTTCACTTCTCAGCCATTAGCCGCCTCTTTGCAGTATATTTTCATATGGTTTTTATGGTTGTATTCTCATTTTTTTTGGACTCATTGATAGAATGGAAGATATATTACAGAAATAGACATGATTTTGATTGCTTTCACGATGAAAAGTACCCTGAAATTGAGCTCAAAATACCAGAAATGTTCGATTTTTTCGTCAGTCAAGTTGGTTAATTTTATTAAGTGTATTCTAACCTAACTACTCTGTAATCTGGCAAACTCAGTAATTCGTCACACTACAGGTTCCAATGATGCCGGATTTGTGATGGAGGACCTGTACTAAAATAACTGTTCTCTTCTTAATACAGAGCAAGAGAATGAGATGCTGTAGATACCTTCAGCTGTTGAAGTCCTGAAATTCCAGATAGGGACTCGCATAATTCATTTTGTTGTTGGAAGTCTCGTTATTGCAATAAAATTTCTGTCTTGGAAAATGATCACATCTGTGTGTATATACACATATACTACTGTACATATATTATGTTTTGAGGTATACAAATTATGAACATAAAAACACTTTAAATTTTATTAAAGTTCTTAAAGTCCTGATGAGGCTTACTGCTTTACAATGAGGCAGTATGCCTCAAAAGTACTTGAAGAATCACATAAATTTTTAGTTGTTTCACAATATGTACAATTATATATATATACATTCGTGCATGTATACGTATTTGAGCATTTCAATTGTTCATCATTATAGAAAAATGAAGAATTATGTAAATATAGCATTAAATTAATAGTGCATAGGTCATTGTGGTAATTTAATGTTGAGAATCATAAAATTTCTTTGATGTCTTTATGGTGATCAACTGGTGCTGGTGCATATTACACTGTCTTACTCTGAATTTCCTCTTTTATATGTAGTAAATAATTTCTATCTCTGTCCCTCTGTCTGTCTCTATCTATCTATCTCTCTCTCTCTCTCTTCTCTCTCTCTCTCTCTCTCTCTTCTCTCTCTCTCTCTCTCTCTCTCTCTTCTCTCTCTCTCTCTTCTCTCCTCTGTCTCTCTCTCTGTCTCTCTCTCTGTCTCTCTCTCTCTCTCTCTCTCTTCTCTCTCTCTCTCTCTCTCTCTCTCTGTCTCTTCTCTCTCTGTCTCTCTCTCTCTGTCTCTCTCTCTCTCTGTCTCTCTTCTCTCTGTCTCTCTCTCTGTCTCTCTGTCTCTCTCTCTGTCTCTCTCTCTGTTCTCTCCTCTGTCTCTCTGTCTCTCCCTCTGTCTCTCTCTCTCTCTTCTCTCCCTCTGTCTCTCTCTCTGTCTCTCTCTGTCTGTCTTCTCTCTCTGTCTTCCTCTTCTCTCTGTTCTCTCTCTGTCTCTCTTCTCTGTCTCTCTCTCTCTCTCTCTCGTCTCTCTTCTCTTCTCTTCTCTCTCTCTCTCTCTCTCTCTCTCTCTCTCTCTCTCTCTCTCTCTCTCTCTCTGTCTCTCTCTCTCTGTCCTCTCTCTCTCTGTCTCTCTCTCTCTTCTCTCTCTCTCTCTCTCTCTCTCTCTCTCTCTCTGTCTCTCTCTCTCTGTCTCTCTTCTGTGTCTCTCTGTCTTCTCTCTCTGTCTTATCTCTCTCTCTCTCTCTCTCTCTCTCTCTCTCTCTCTCTCTCTCGTCTCTCTCTCTCTCTCTCTCTCT